AAAAAGAAAGTAAGTGGGAGGAATCCCTCTACCCCACTTCAAGCTGCAGTAATCAAAATTGCTACTGGCAGAAAGGGAGAAGCATAAATCAATTCAACAGCACACAGGGGACCCAGAAATAGATTCACACAGTACAGCCAAGTTCTTTTTTAAAGAAAAAAACAAAAAACAACAACAACAAAAAAAAGTAAGAAAGCAATTCAACAAAGAAGAATAGTTTTTTCAGCAATATTGATAAAGTATTTGAATATTCATATGCCAAAAAATCTCAACCTAAACATACTCAAAATAGATTTTAGATTTAAATGTGAGATGGAAAATTATAAAACGAAAGCAGTGAAAATCTTTGGAACCTATGACTTGGTGAGGAGGCTTAGCTATGTTATCCAAAACACAATCCATAAAAGGAAAGAAAGTGATATACTGGTTTTCATTAAAATGAAAATCTTTTTCTATGACAGCCTTTATAGAGAAGATGAAAAGATCAGCTACGATGAATATGAAAATATTTCCAAAGCACATTATCTGACAAAGAACTTACATCTAGAATATACAAATAATTCTCAGAAGTAAACATAAACATTCAGATTAAAAACAAATGGAGCTAATGACAGTGCCCTTTCCTGAGCTCTAGGTCACCATTGCTACTATCAGCCAAAGCACCAAGAGAAAAATGTATGTTCTATTTTCCAGGTGCATGTTTTTGGCTTTCAGTGAGAATGAAAGTCCATACTGTTATAGAATGGACACTTTTCCTTCTACCTGTATGAAGGAAATTGAACTGTACATGGAATACGTCCATTCCAACTGTGTTATAAGCTGTCACGCTGTATCCTATCTCATGGCAAAACATACATAGGACCAATCACTGAAGAGATACAAAACTTTAGGTTGAACATTTTCTTTAAAGGGAAATTTCAATTTTAACTCCATTTCTTGGATTTCCTCTACCATGCTCTAAAGTTTTACGCCAATCATCCCTTCAAAGGGAGCTGATGTTTCCTTTTTCTCATTGATATCTCTCTGGCCATGTATCTCTCCAATCTCTTTAACTGTCCTGATCTGAAGAATAAATTCTGAATTTGGGGGATGAAATGTGCATGGCGTGGCACAGGGAGTTTGGGCTGGAGAAAAGCGCCTCACACACAAGCTCATTTAGAGAGCTGTAAGTACTGTGAATATAAATTATTAAGAAGCACAACACTGAATGGTATTCTACAAAATATTTTTGCATTTTCTATGAAAAAATAGACTTTTTGAAGGAACTTGGCATTAGTTACAGACGGAACCTTGAACATTTCCAAGAATTGGTGCAGGCAATTATGCTTGCTGACACAACTGAGGCATGAAATTAGAAGATATTCCTAAACTTAGGGAGAGAATCAGACTTCTTTTAACTTCTTTGGCTTTGATTTTCCCCTTCCAAAATTAGTCCAGTGATAATATTAGAAGGAAGTGCAGATTTATTATACCCACTAATGGCTTTTAATATTGCCAGTTGGCTCTCAGAAGGAATGATTTTTAAAAAATGAATGCACAGACACTTTGGACTATAGCACTATACTTGAGAGAAACACCATGCAAAATTATAATCTTTTCTCATTAGGCTCCACTTTTAGAGAAACTTTACGGATATAAAGAGTGAGAGCAGCTTCTTCCCCCACTCTTACTGCATTAAAGCCAACATCAAGCTGATGCTGACAAGAGGACAAGAGGCTCAGCACCACAAACACACGTGACGTCAACAGTGGCAGAGAACTATCAGCCAGGTGACATGGAGGCGCCACAAGGACGCAAGGACAGGAAAGTCAGTGGGTGGATCCAGGCTTGGCATTAGATGGCCAAGCATTCACTGGCCAGTTCTCATATGCATTGACTTCCAAATTCTGTTTTCTCCCCCTCAGAAAGGTAATAATTGGACCACTGTAGTACTAGGTTTGCTTTAGAGCGTAAATGAGATATACACGCAGCATGCTCAATGTCTGGGTCACTATAGACTTAGTAAGCATGAACCATCATTTTTATTTACCACTATGATTGTTGTTGTTTATTATACAAGCTCAGTTATTTTTTCAAATTTTGTTAACTTGTTTATTTTAAAATGCTTTAAGTTTGGATAGTGCTATAATTTGTGCTTAAGTGTCCCCCCAAAGCCTCAGGCAGTCATGGGCAGCTGGGTTTCAGGAGGTTGTGATAGATTCTAGTTCCAAAGCTGAGATTGCATGTGTGAGTTCTACACCCTGCCCCTGGGGTGGGTAATTTGCATTACAGTGTAAGGAGGGGAGAGAGGCTGGCTAGCTGCCTGAGCTGCTGCCACTCCCTTTTCCTTTCTGCTCTTTTCCCCTGCCATGAAAGGTTGCTCTCTGCCGGAGCTGTTCTGCTTTGGAGCCCACTGAAACCTCCAGTAACTGTGAGCTAAAGAAACATTTCCTTCCTTAATTTTGAGTGTCAGTTATTTGTCCTAGCAATGAGAGAAGAATAACTGAGACAGAGAGAAACTACATAGATTTTTAGAATTAAATATACTTAAAATGTGACAAGTTAGACATAATTGATACTTATGTTAGTGAACTAAAATACTTCATTTTGAAGTAAAACACACCATTTTTTGGCAGTATGGGTGAGTTTGAAAGCCATTATCCTCAGTGAGATGAACTGACACAGAAAGACAAGTTCTCTATGATTTCATTCTATGGAGACTAAAAGAGATGACCACTTACAAGCAAAAAGTCAAGCAGTGGTGGCCAAGGGCTATGAGGTGACAGAAATACGGAGATGCTGTTCCAAGGGAACAGACTTTAAAATATATGTATTTATTTATTTATTTGGTGCAGGGTCTAACTATGCAGTTCAAATTCATAGTGATCCTCCTGTCTCAGCCTCCCCAGTGCTGGGATTACAGGTGTGTGCCTGTCTGGTTTCAGGCCAGTACAGTGTGTCCAGGGTTCCAGAGCCAGCATGGCATGGAGCACAAGGAATTGAGCCTGGGTCCTTGTACTTGCCAGGCCAGTGCTTAGACCGCTGGACTATCTCCCCAGTCCAGGATGGACTTTGAACTATAAAAGGGACAGAGCTTGTGGGAGCTGGAGTAAAGCATGGGTGGTGGCAGATGTGTTAACAGATGCAGTCTATCTTAATTTGACAATTTAAAAAGCTATCTTAATGTGATTTGTATTGACTTGCTGTAATGATGTCTTGCTTTGAGTGGTGCATATCAATTATAATATAATTAGTTCTTTTCAGACCAGCCAAGGACTTTGAGAATGTCATCCTTCACACCCCTCGACATATTTGGCCGTGGATAATGCTACTACAGATTCTAACAGTTCATAGAAACTAAGGACAATGAGCAAGTTCCCAGGTGTAGGATGACAATAGAGGTGGCACATGTAGAATGCAGCTTTAGGATCTGACAGATTCAGGTCTGGTCTTCATTATTAGCAGCATGCTCTACAGTGAGTTCCATATCATCTCAACTTTTGTTTTGTTATTTGTGAAATGATTTATAGCGCTTATATTTTAGAAGATGGGTGTACGTATTGAATGATCCAATGTACATGTACAATATTTAATATAAAATCTTGTGGTCTTGCAAATGATCAATACATGTTAATTACTATTTACATGGTTTTATTAAACACATTGATTTTTCTGGCAAAGCTATGACAATCATTTTCATTATTGCTTACAGAGTGAGATGGTAATGGGGTCATTAATTCATGTTTCTCATGGCTTTACTCTGTACTGTTTATAATTCTTACTACCCACAGAACTGACCATAGGGGAAATAAGTTGGGGAGACTATGAAGGTTCTGTATGAAAGTAGTATTTCAAAAACAAATTAAAAAACATGATTTGACAAGAGAAACAAGTAATATCATCTCCATAAATGGATGGAATAATTGACAGTTGGCTAGCATTATTAGTTGAATTTTTGAGTTTCATTTTGTATAACAAGAAAATTGAAAGAAATATGCCACTCTATTCCTTTAAGACAATTAATTTTTTATTTTTTTAGTACTATGCTATAATAGTTTTGCGGCTTTTAGTGGACTTCATTTATATATTTTTAAAATCAAGAACTGCTGTTTGCACTTACATAAAATTAAATCTCTAAGAAATTCTTTGACACATCTGATTGTTCTAATTTTGAATTGTCAGATTTTTTCAGACATAGGAAAATTAGTTATCTTGTTTTTAGATGAATAAAATGCTTTCACGGAAATTTTTCTTACCACAGTACATGGGACATTGTGTCTAGTGGGACAGGAATTCTGCAGCAGTGGTGCTGACCTCATAGCGTGGCCACAGTGGCAAAACTGGGCATGGCCAGGCAAAGGCTTTGGATAAGGACCACTTCCTGCCCCTGTGACTGCAGCTGGGAAAACAGCAGCAATTATGAGGACATTAAGTATGATGTTAAAAAGATGCAAACAGAACATGGCTCCTGAAGCACCAGACTTTGCATTAGTTGTATTCTCTGTCTGTGTCTGTGTCTGTCTGTCTGTTTCTCTCTCTCTCTTTCTCCTTCCCTTCCTCCCTCTCCCTCCCTCCCTCCCTCCCTCCGTCTTCCATCCTCCCATGAGTTACCTCTCAGTCATCTACACTAATTCCACTACTACCTTTAACACTCCATAATGACACATCTCAAGATAGTAACTTTTTTAAATGACTTCTTTTGTCCTTTTCCTTTTCACAGTGTTTCTCAGACATAGACATTCTTTGTGGAGGTTAAAATTTCGAAGATGTGCTATCCTTCCATGAAAATATGGGAAGCAACATTTACATATATAATTTGATCTTATAAAAGTGCTCTACTAATATTGTATTTTTAGGAGCTGGAATTTCCACTAATACTCCGTCATATATAAAAAAAAAAAAAAGCTGGTACAAAGTTACGCTGCACATTTTGACAAGACCCTTGCCACCTGTTGTCAGACGCTGTGGCCACACCCACCGCTTCTCATGCTCGCCGGCTCCTGGAGGCCCTGTGTACTTACTGGATGGAGCTTTCGATGCGCGTGATGGTGAGGAAAGCGGCAAGGTTTGCCGTGTAAGACGAGATGACAATCAAAGCGAAGAGCCACCAAGCCCCCATCATCATCCGGGTCGCCAGGGTTGCGTAAGGGACCTCCCCACCTGTGGGAAGAAGCCAAGAGGGTAAAAGTACGTCCACACACATTTGCTGAGAGTCTGAGTCCGTATACATTTGATGCCAAAACAACGAAGTTACGCAAAATATTTTACATAGTGTCAGTGTAGACTTCAGTATTTTCATTGTTTTATATTTTATGGGTTTTATGAAAATAATGTGAGACTAGTCAGTAAGAAACACAATAAATATTCAGTGTAACAGGTTAAAAGGACAGCTTGCCTTCCTTACTGGGCTAGCCTCTCATTTGTTACCTTCTTATTTCAGACAGAGATCTATACAGTTTTCCAAGAGTTTGATTATTCATCAGTTAAGGGAATCTAACACTGTTATGTCACGGTAGTATACCTTTCAAGATCTCCAGCTAATTATGTAATATTAGAAGGATTATTTTTAGTTAGATTCTCTAGAAGCACAAGACGTTAATGAACTTGGAATCATACAAAAGGTGGATGGTGTCTATATGCTCACGCGTGCTTCGCTCTGCTCCTCACTGGCCAGCTGCCGCTCTGCGCCCCTCTGCTAGGGCAGGAGGCGCCCGGGCTCAGTCCCTAGGCTCCTCCTACTCGCACACCGCTGCATTCTCATCCTGCGTAATTGCAACAGCCACCTATGCCTACCTGGAGAGCTCCCAAATTTATATTTTGAGCTCCACTCTCTATATCACTAGAGACTAAAACCTTCCTTTTTCCACTTGGAATCTAATGGGCATCTCAAACTCAAAGCATCTAAATTAACAGTACACCAACCTGATCCATATTTATTAGACCCAAACTGAGAATTTTTCCAATGCCTAAAAAGTCCTGCCATCTTTATCTTTATAATATATCCCCAACCAATTTTATGTCATCATTTCGGCCATTCACACCAAGCACAAATCCAACCTGACTGTGTGTGTGTGTGCGCACGCGCGCGCTGCGGAGGCCTGAAGCCAGGGAGTACCGAGTTATTCCCTCAGTATCTTGCTGGGTTTCGTTTTGAGCTTCGCGCTTCCGGTCCTGCTTCAGCCTCTGGGCGGCTTTGATCTCAGGTGGGCACCGCCCAGCTTAGCCTATCTGGACTAGCGAGCAGCTTCCGTGATTTCCGTACTCGTGCTCTGGGGTGTCCTGCTCCTGAGCCTGTCACCATGGTGCGACAAAAGATGAAATGATGCCACGGTGCCCAGGGTACTCTTTTGGGCACAACTCCCAGTGGCTTTCCATCTCAGAAAACTAGCCTTACAAATGTCATCCTGGCCAAAAGCAAGCAGCCTGGGTCAGGCGTGCGACTCTCCCCCTCATCCCTTTTGTTTTTTGTATTTTAGGGAAGGGTCTACAGGGTGTTCAGGGTCTCACTACTAGGTCAGACTCGCAGTGGTCGCCTGTTTACAGCCTCCCAAGAGCTGGGGTTACAGGCGCGCGATACCACGCCCGGTCTCAATTGTCGTCTCAGTGTGCCCCAGGGCTGAGGCCTGCATAGCAGTCCCCGAGATCAAACCCCTGCCCCTGCGCCTGCTTGCAAGCGCTTTAAGCTGCTGAGCTTTTGGCTGGCCCTCCCCTCATCCTTCTCTCCATGTCCTCTTGGAATTTCTTATACGGCGCCAGGCCAATATCTGCCCCAGGGACTTGGGGCACACTCCCCTTTAGTACATTCTGGCTTCTGTGGAGAGAATGGCTCTCCACAAAGACCTTTGGCTGAAAGGAATATTACTAAAGTAACTCCCTACTATTCTCTAATTGTTCTGCTGACAATTTCCTTAATTTTTATCATAAAATTTTCAGTCTCTCTCCAAGCACAAAACATTGCCTTCATCTTGATAATTACCTGCCTATTGACAAAATAATTCTGTCTTCTATAATAGTACATTTTTTCCTGATTACAAAAGTACTAAATGTTGTTTTCAAAAAAAAAAATTTAAAAGGACAGAAAACAATAGAGAAAAAAATTAAACAGCTTATAATCCTATCACTAACACAAAGCTATTGTTAAGATTTTTGGGGAGTTATTTTTATTCTTTGCACATATTTGATTATAGGCAAAAATTGGGATCTACTTCCTATATCTTATTCAATTTATATTGTCTTATTTTTTAGTATTGCAAAGAAGGACAAATTTGGCTCCCTTGTAGGAAAACGTGTCCACCTTGAGATCATACTGGTCAATGCCGGAAATCAGATACACAAGCTTAAATATCAGATGGTTCCTCTTAGACGAAAGACTCAATATGTGATGCTTTAAATAATGCTTTCCTTCATGGCACCTACTTTTAGGCTTTCTTTCATATAATTATAATCTCTTATGCAGGAATAGTCCCTAGCCCACATTATGTTGGCAAATAGTTTTTCATAAATATATGCTGTGGTGTAGGCTGCCTTGTTATGCTCTGAAATTCCTATGTTGAAACTGTGACACCCAGTGGGACGGTGTTGAAAAGTAGAGCCTTCATAGAAATAATTAAGGCAGAATGAGGCCATAAAGCACAGCCCTGTCCTAATAGGACCTATGTCCATATAAGAAGAGACACTTGTACTCATCTGTGCAGAGTAAAGGCCACATAAGGACACAGCGGGAGGAGGACGCACAACCACGGGGAGCGACCTCAAGAGACACTAGGACTATGAGCACCTTGCACGTGGTTTCCACCCTCCAGGTTGGTGAAACAATAAGTTCCTGCTGTTCAACCACCCAGTGAGTACTGTGTTATGGAAGCCCTAGTAGATATGCTCACCATGAAATAGCAGTGATCTTTTTAAAAGAAAGTAGGTTTCCATTCCGATTGGAAATAGTACCTCGCAATTCAATTAACTATGATATCAGGCACATTTTTATTCCAGCCACTAGTTCTCACACTGTAATATCTGTACATTTTTAAATGTAGTGTAAACACACCCTTCAGTTATGTTCTGAGCTATTTCATAATGTAATGTGCTCAGAACAGACTCACCTCTGTTATCTGGAACACATTTTTCAAAGGCAGTTATAATGCATTTTAGAGACTTTCTTCTTCAAAGCAAAAGGCATTTTTTGCTCAGCTTTTAAAAGATGAAAGCTAAAGAGCATACTATTTTTTAAATTCACATAGAGATTTTCTGAGCAAAACAACTAATTGAAAAAAATAATAATAAAGTGTGAACATGATGATAGCTAAAGAGTGAAAGATGTACGTGTAATAAAAGTGGAAGAGAAAACATTTGACTGAAAAGGCTAATTGGAGGTTTGTTTCCGTAGGCTTTAGCTTTGATTAGAGTTGTTTTCACTGATATGAAAGAATACTTGTTAAGTTTCTTAATCTGTGCTCTATAATTTACAACTCTGATGGCTCAAATGTTCTTGTAGAGTCCAAGTAAGACACCATTTCATTTGATAGCTGCAGTTAGGAATAAAATATTAAAATAAAATAATAAGAATCTCAACTTCCAATTCTGGTAATGTTGGACTTGACAGTTCCTGTCATCTTCCTACTGACAGCAGCTGGAACAACTCAACATAGAAAGCATTTGTAGAGTGGAAGAGGACCAAATTCTACACAAAATAAACAGGGAAGAGCGCCTAGTGTGTAGGATTGCTTTTCCCCAGGCACCACATGACAACTTACACACAGGAAGGTAAAAAGTGCAAGACCATTGCAATGACTTCATAAAAGGTCCTCAAACATTAGGGGGTTACAAAAATTAGGGCTCAGGGTCTGCCTAAGGTGGTAGGACTGAGAAAGCCAGAAAATCTCCAGTTTCTTGGAAATTGTTAACTATAATTCCATGAGAAAGTAAAAATACTTTATGTTGACTTATAATAAAAATAATTGAGGCAAAATTTTACAGGTTTTGATAGTTGATGGGATAGGGGTAAATTTGTCTCTCGAGAAATAAAAATGATTGTATGTAATTGTAAAAGACGGTTGCAAATAATGACCTGCTTATCAGTTTTATGAAGACAAAAAAAATCTCCCAATCAAATCTAAAGAGAAATAAACAAAAGGGACAACAAGGTCACTGCAACATAAATTTGGTTCTTTGGGTTGGTCATAATCAAGAGAATACATGACATTGCCTGGACAATGACAAGAATATAAATGGGACATTCTTACATATGTCACAGATGTTAGAAAGATAGCAAGAGGACCATAAGTGCAATTTTATGTGTAAAAATTTTGGCATTGAAATATGAAAAAAATTCCAATAAAAGACATAGAAAATTGGGGTCTTCTAACTATTAAAAACCTTGAAGTAAAAATGAAAACTTATTCAACACCAGTGCTTTAATATCAAGACTGAACAAATATTTGGGGAATAATGAATTTTGCTCAAGCGCTTCCTGAGTTTGGAAAGAAGCAACAAAACAGGCCATCCATGGCTTAAAGAAAGCACAGCTTTGAAAGCTGGCCTGGTTATTCAGGCAAAAAAAAAAAAAAAAAAAAAGATCATAGGTCAGTATTTCTCATGAGCATTGATACAAATTAATCAATTGTGCGTGTTCTTTTTTTTTTTTTGTGGAACTGGGGATTGAACTCAGGCCCTTGTGCTTGCCAGGAAGCTCTTATTCTAAGCGCTTATTCTACTGAGATATCTCCCCAGCCCCAAATTGATCAATTGAAAGTGTATCAAGAAGCAAAGAACAAACAAACAAAAATCCTGTTTGAGTTTATTTTATAAAAGCAATAGGGTCGGCCAAATAGTTCAGATTAAAGCACCTGCAAGCAGGCTCAGGGGCCAGGAATTTGATTCCTAGGCCTACCGTGCTGGCCCCGCTCCTGGGGCAAGCTGCAACAGCAATTGAGACTGGGCATGGTGGTGCATGCCTGTAATCCCAGCTCTTAAGAGGCTGGAAACAGGTGGATCACTATGAGTCCGATCTAGTAGTGAGACCCTGAACACCTTGTAGACCCTTCCCTAAAATACAAAAATAAATGAATGAATGAATGAATAAAAGTGAGGTGAATTAAACACCAAAGAATCAGTCATTCTGATTTATCCCATTAGCATAATGGAGAGAAACCAAATGATTATAATTG